GCCTTGAACCATGAAACACCTTGGCTGCTTCTCACTGGCAAAATATAATCAGCAAAGCGAGCTCCAGTGTGGCAATGGATGACAAGCATCACACGCATAAACCAAATCCACAGCTAATCCTTTGTCTTTTCCTTCATCACATCAGTTTCCTCCCCAACCAAATTCTTCATCTAGACTCCCAGAAAGAAACAAATCTGATTCATTAGTTTCATCTCCTTTCCTTCCCTTGATTGTTACTTGGAAGTTGGGTGGGGGGAAATGGCCAAAGAACAATTTACAAGAGAGAAAAGTGAAGAACTCTGATTAATCCCTCAACTGGATAATTAGTGTCTAGGCAATTAAGGGTTGGTGATATTATAAACCTCATTAATTCAGACTGCACTAAACCAGAATTCATAATTCAGATGAGTGGCTTCATGTTTATTTATTTAATAAAAAAGTAGCAAAGCTTTTCTTCATTAATAGTATGTTAGATCTCATTATTAAAAAAAAAAACTTGACATGTTTTCACTGAGTATTTCAGAAGAATTGCTTACATTCAAATATTTGATATATTAATTATAAATCATTCTTATCCATTAGTTAAGGCAACTTTCCAAGGGATGGTTACCAAGGAATCCATCACTTACTTTCTATACCTTGAATATAGTTTTGTTTCTTAATTTTTCTCTCTATGTTTCAGACATTTCACTAAGGTATAATGTAAACATTTGAAGTCTGAATACCCGGGCTTTGTCCCTACTCTTATTTCAAGATGGAAGGGACCTTGGCCCATAGACACCATTTGAGCCCTTGGGCCATTGAGACCAGCCTTCTTATTTTACAAATAAGGGAAATAAAGAGAATAAGCTTTTATTTAACATCTACTACATGTTGGGCACTGGACTGAGAGCTTTTTTTAAGTGTTTGGGGGCAGTCTAGCTGTCTATCCACTTTGCCATAAGCTGCCTCTAATGAAGAAGCTCAAGAGAACAGAATGGAACACACACGTGTATAGCATCTACTATGTGTCAAGCACTGTGCTAAGCACTTTACAAATATAATACCTCATTTGATCCTCACAACAGACCTTCAAGGCAGATGCTACTATTATTCCCCTTTTACAGATGAGACGACTGAAGCAACCAGAGCTTAAGGGACTTGTTCAGGGTCACACAGCTAGCAAGTGTCTGTGGGCTTCTTGACTCTAGGTGCAGCACTCTATCCACTTTGCCACCGGCTCCCTTTAGTGAGGAAATGGAAGCATATCTAGGTTAAATAATTTGCCCAGGATAACACACCTAACAAGTGTCTGAGACAGAATCGGAACCCAGGTCTTCCTGATTTCCTCAGAACTCTATCCATTACACTAGTGGTTCTCAAACTTTTTGGTCTCAGGATCCCTTTACCTTCTTAAAAATTGAGGAGTCTCTGGAGAGCTTTTGTCTATGTGAGTTATACCTATTGATACTTACAAATTTGAAATGAAAACATCAGTGTTATTATAAAAATAATAATACTGAGTTTTGACCTCACAGGCCCCTCACAAAAACTTTGGGGACCTCTACATGGCCCTGGACCACATTTTGAGAATCACTGAAATACTGTCTTTTTCATGACCCTGGGCAAGTCACTTAAAGTCTAATTTACCATCTGGAAAAAAAAAAAGAGGGCTTTAGCCTCTATGTCTTTCCGGCTTTAAATGTATGCTTCTCATTTAGGCTTATCTTTCTCACAATTTGTTCAACTAACCAAATTATATTTTGTATACAAAAGCCCTCTTCAGTAGCATGGTTAAGTGCTAAGAACCTTGGATTTGGGAGTCAGGAGAGCTGGATATAATTTTTGGCTCCAAAGCTTCTTAGCTGTGTGACTGTGCACAAGAAACAACCTCTCTGAAGTGCAGAGATAATGGAGATTTATCTATATCTATATCTATCTATATCTATATCTATATCTATCTATCTATCTATCTATACATTTACATATACCTCATAGAGTTTTTGGGAAGAAAGTACTCTGCAAATCATTTTAAAAAGCTATATAAATATAAGCATTTATTATTTTATATAGGAGCTGTGGGTAATTTAGAATAATAATGAGGTTTCAGATTTTATCTTGTAATTCCCTGTGTTGTGTCTAGAATAAAGCAGGAAGTACTGAAGGATTTGTTAGGGTATCCATGGCAGACCTTAAGTGGAAGGGTGGGGTGAGGCAGGAATCAGCTGTAGTTCCACAATACCATGGAAGCTGGAATGCAGGGAAGGGAGTAGAGGCCCAGTGCCAAAGGTAAGTCTAGAAACACCATCAGGAAAGCTAAATTTGTGTTCAATGCCAGGCTCATAAATTCCAAGTGAGACCAAATAGTTGTCAAGAAGGAAGTGACTACTTTGAGGCATTGTGCCTTTTAGGCCTATACCAACTGCTATTTACTTGTTAAGAGAACTAGGTTGTATAGTAGATAGAAAGCTGGGCTTGGAGAGAAGACCTGAGTTCAAAAACTGCCTCAGAAACTATTAGCTATGTGACTCTGGGTTAGTCATTTAATGTCTGTACCTCAGTTTCCTTATCTGTGAAGTGAAGGGATTGGACCCAGTAGTCTCCAAGTTTTCCCTCCAGTTCTAAATCTATATTCCAGTGATCTGATTCTCAAAGAGTATGCTATGTGGTGTGAATTTCACACCCTGGGTCAGTGTGAAAAACACCTAGCTCTTTAATAGTTTTGCCAAAATGAATTTTTTTGCCAGTGTAGGAACGTGGGACTATCAGATGTTATTGTCTCAAAAGTATAGAAATGTATCTTCAGCTGTTAGACTTGAGAAGCCATTGTGCTAATCTCGTTTACCTTGCCTGCATGGTGTACTTTGCGGTACAGTTATTACTTAAACACATAAGTTAAGTCAACAAGTATTTTTATTAAGTGCCTACGATGTGCAAGACATAGTACTAAGCACTAAGGATACAAGAGTGGCAAAATATAATCCATTCCCTGGAGGAACTCACATTCTAATAGCAAAAACAATTTTCAGACAACTATGTTTGTCCAAGATATAGATATATACATACAGGTTAAACTGTAGGTAATCTCAGAGGAAAGGCACTAGCCTTTCAGGGGATCAGGAAAGTCTTGATGCTTAAGGTAGGATTTTAACTGAGTCTGGAAGGAAGCCTGGGAAACAAGGAATTGAAGATAAGAAAGGAGAACATTCCAGGCCTGGGGGACAGCCAGTGAAAATGCCCAGAGTCAGGAAATAAAATGTCTAGTTTGAAGACAAAGGTTTTATTGAACGACATTAGATGGAAAGTGAGTGAAATCTGTTCTTCCCTGAATGAAAAGTGTTCAGTATTTGATGTAAGTTCTTCTTGGCAAGACCATTTGACAACAGAAATGAATGAATGGAAAGCATTTATTAAGTACTTATTGGGTGCCAAGCAGTGGAGATTCAAATACAAGAATGCAAGACAACTCCTGCCCCTGGGGGCCTTACATCCTAATGGAGGGGATGAAAAGAATTATGGGAAATGACACAGATGGAGATAAGGACAATAGGGCAGCCCTTTGATACTCCCTTTCCAGAGGCTCTGGTAGTATTGATTTGATGACAATTTTCTAAACAAGAGGGGAAAGATAGGAACAGACAATTCATTCCAACTCCCTCATTTTACAGTTGAAAAAACAAGTGCAGGGTCACAGTGCTAATAAGAGTCTGATGAAGTATTTGATCTCCAGTCTTCCTGGCCTTGTTCCAGTAGGAAGGGGCCCAGTTAAGAGGGTTAGGGTTAGGATTAGTAGTGCTGAGCCCTTTGTCTTACCTCTTGCAAGGCATGGTCTCTTATCAGTTCACCAAGGTGGGTCCACCCAATGTGCGTGAGGCCTTCTTGGCTTTCCCCTGACATCTGGAGGATACCCTCTCCACATTCATGTTGTCAGCTGTCATTGTTTGTCCTCACCATTGAGCAACCCGTCTTTCCTAGCTTAGATTTCTCTCATCTCCTGGTTTACTCCTATTCTTCTCTGAAGCTCCTTGTTGGTTCCAAGCTACAGCATATTTACACATTGCTTGGCTCTCTATTGCTTATATTGGGAAGTTCATTTTCAGTTCTTCAGAACTTGCTATGTTCTATGACAGATGACACAGGTATAATACAATACTGGTAGAATACTGGGGTTTTTTTTTTCATTTTTTCATGTTTATTTTTTTAACTCCCCCCCAAAGTCTATGATGCTTATGCCTTTTTTTATTATGTGTCCATTTAGCCATTTTCTTTCTTTCTTCCTTCCTTCCTTTCTTCCTTTCTTCCTTCCTTCCTTCCTTCCTTCCTTTCTTCCTTTCTTTCTTTCTTTCTTCCTTCCCTCCTTCCTTCCCTCCTTCCTTCCCTCCTTCCTTCCCTCCTTCCTTCCTTCTTCCTTTCTTTCTTTCTTTCTTTCTTTCTTTCTTTCTTTCTTTCTTTCTTTCTTTCTTTCTTTCTTTCTTTCTTTCTTTCTTTCTTTCTTTCCTTCCTTCCTTCCTTCCTTTTTGGTGAGGAAATCAGGGTTAAGTGATTTGCACAGCTAGTAAGTGTCTGAGACCAGATTTGAACTCAGGTCATCCTGACTCCAAGGCCAGAGCTCTATTCACTGAACCACCTAGCTGCCTCTGTCATTTTTTTATGAGCTTTTTTTTTTAAGAGACTTGGTGTCTTTAAATGAACTTTGTAGTTTCCTGAAGGACTCCAGTTTGCTCTTTCCCTCCTTTAAATTTTGGGCCCAATTTGTTCATCTGTGCTGTCTCAGACACATGAAATTCAGTGATTCATAAAATATATGTATAATATTGTATATCAACATATTTTATCTTTTAATACAATAATAATTCAGACTTGTTCTATGGTACAAAGGGAGGACCAAAATATTTTATCTGGATCTTCTAGATTGAAAGGGCACTGTGCCCCTAAACCCTGTGATATGGAAGGGATAACTCTATTAGCATTTCCATTTTATGAATGAGAAAACTGAGGCCCAGAGAGGTTAAGTGACTTACAAGAGTCATACAACTTGTAAGTGTCAGAGATAGAGTTCAAATTCAAATTTTCTGGACTTCGTCTTCTACATGATCTATCATGCCGTATTTCCTAAAAAAAGAAAAAAAGAAAAAAAAGCTTGCTGGAACAGGTATTTTTTTTTCTTAAATCAAGGTAGATTCTTCTACCTTTGGAAGAGGTGAATTCTTCTAAGAGAAAATGTCATTTGCCTTACTGTGACATAGAATTAATTTTATTACCTGTACTTTCCTCTTAACAAGGGGATAAGTTAAGTAGTGTTTCCATTTAAGATATCAATCAGTGGATTTATTAAACACTTACAGCGTGCCAGACACTGCTAAGTGCCGGGATATGAAACAAGGTAAAATCATGCAATGGGAGACATAACATGCAAATAAATATGCAAATAACATTATATAGAAGGTAATCTCAGAAGGGTACTAGCACAGTGACATGCCTCTTCTGCCAATCTTGTCTGAGATTTCAAGAAATAGAGATACACTTAAAACAACTACCTCTAAGCTACCAGCAGAAATTATTGATTGAAAGAAAGCATTACGCATTCCCACTAAAAGAATACAAAGTCACGCTCCTACCTCATTGCCAGCGTGGGAAATAACGTAATCAGTCACTTGGCTCTGTTGACTGAAGGGTAGTGGCATGAGACAATTAAAAGTGGATCACATGTTATAATGAGGTAGATAAAGAAAACTGAAACTTAATATGAATGTGTCAGAATAGATCAAGAGTTCTTAACCTGGTTTTGTGTGTGATGTGTCACCTTTAGAAGTTTGATGAGGCCTATGGACCCCTGCTCTGAATAATATTTTTAAGTCCATAAAATAAAATACGGTATGAAGGAAAACTGACATTTGCAAAGGAAACCAATTACAGGCAGCTCTACTATAACCGACATTTGTATTCTCAAAAAGCACTATACTATGCAAAATTGCACAATAAAAACCACAGAGCTCATGAGGAAAATGAGATTTGGGGCATGATGCTTAAAAACTTCATTAGTGACACACTGAAAAAAAAGATAGGAATCTAATAAAATGGTGCAACAGTTTTATACATGTTATATGGTACAGAAATACATAAATACTATAATTAATGACAACGGACTCTTTAGCCTAAGCATCTTACTCACCGCTGCAGGTTGGGCAGCAACTCAGGGCCTTGAGAGAACATGCTCTCCGTGTTCTTTGAGATCCCTTAGAATTCTAAATCTGTGATCTGATTGGGGAATGGATGAGTCAATTGTGTGCTATCAATGTCCTGGAATAGTACTGTGTCACGAAGAATGACAACTATGAGAAATTCAGAGAAACATTGGCATACTTGTATAAAATGATGCAGAGCAAGGAAAGTAGAACCAGAACAATGTATACCCCGATTACAATCAGGTAAATTAGGACACCATTAAAAGATAACAGGGCTTAGATCAGATAAAATAACTAACGTTTGTTCCAGATGAAAGTAGGAGCAGGAATACTATAAACTACATACATGATGATTACAATAATTGTAAAGAAAGAGTAGGCTATAAGGCAATAGATGAAATGCAAAAACCAATGGTAAAACATACTTCTTTCTTTGTTAGAAATACATTCTGCCAATCACAATATTTGGGAATCTTTCTATCAATCACAATGATTAAGGAATGGCCAGGAATGGCTAAAGCACTGTCTCTTTGCCTTTGTGGGACTCACATTCTCATGGTGTAGATAACACGTAAATAATGTACATACAAGAAATATACAAAGTAGATGGAAGATTGTTATTTGTCCTTGGTTTTTGAAGAAGACCAATGACATCATGGGGTGATGTTTTGATTGGCGTGTGAATTGGATGTAAGTGAGGCAGAGCTACACAAAGTCATCGGCCTCACTCTCCTTTCCTGAGGTAATGAAGTCCATTGGCAAAACAAAGTCAGGATGACTGGTGGTGGCCCAGATACAGTGGATGACCTCGGCATCTTCAGTGTCTGACTAAGCTCTAAGTGCTCCACAGCACCTGCCTTAGTCACCTTCATGGTCATTGGGCCAAGTTGTTCTTGTCTGCCCATTCTACCTGGGGATGTCTTCGCATGCTCGGGGTACGCATTCCCCTAACTTACTGATGGATTTGAGGCCTGTTAGTTACCCTCAACCTGGTTCAGCCGAGATGGTTTACCATGGTGTGGATGCTGAGCATGCTACAGTTTCTTAGAGCCACAGCTGAGAGTTGGGTGAAAGGTGGATGAGCAGCTTTGAAAAAGGCTCAGCAAGCCCTTATAGCAGAAGTGCCAGACCTCCCTGAATACCTCATACACCTTCCATCGAAGAGAGAGGCTGCTAGGTGGCACAGTGGATAAGGTGTGGCATCAGGGAAGTCAGGAGTTCAAATCCAGCCTCAAATATTTACTAGCCATGTGATCCTGGGCAAGTCATTTAACCTCTTTCAGTTTTAGTTTCCATCATCTGTAAAATGGGATCATAACAGCACTGTCCTCCTAAGATTGTTGTGGGGATCAAATGAGATAATAATTGTAAAGCACATTTCAAACCTTAAAGCACCATAAAAATGTTTGTTGTTGTTAATCTCAGAGGAAAAGTATTAAGAGCTATCGAACCTGGAAAGACCTCCTGAAGAAAGCAGTATTTGGGCTAAGTCTCGAAGGAAGTCAGGGAACCCAGAAGACGGTGAAGAGGAAGAAACAGGAATAGGGGATAGCCAAGGCACAGGCACAGAGAGCGAGGAACTGCATGTAGGCCAATGTAGTTGTACTGCAACGTACTTGAAAGGGAGTCAAGCAGAAAACTGGAAAGGTAGGAAGGAACCAGGTAATGAAGGTCTTTAAAGCCCCGATGATTTCATATTTGATCCTATAGGCAATGGGAAGTCACTGGGGTTTATTGAGTAGGGAAGGTTATATGGGCAAAGTTACACCTTAGGAAAATCACATTGGCAGCTGCATGAAGGATGAATTGGAGTAGACAAAGATTTGAGACAGGGAGACCAGTTAGACTCTGTGAAGACCTATAGGAGAGAGATTATGAAGCTAGGAAGGAAATATTTTGGTAAAATGCTAGTTATACAAGGTGAGGAAGAGGAAGAAGTTGAGGATGAGTCTGAGGTTGTGAGCCTGGGTTACTGGCAGAATGGTGGCACGCTTGACAGTGGTTGAGAAGCTATGTTATGGTAAAAAGATGATTAGTTATGTTTTAGATATGTTGAGTTAGAGATACTTATGAGACATCCACTTTAAGATGTCCAAAAAGCAATTTATGGTTTGAGTCTGCAGCTCAGGAGATAGATCAAAATTATAAATTGGGAAATCATCTGCATAGAATTGATACATGAACACATGGAAACTGATGAGATCACCAAGCAAGATAATATAGAGAAAGGGTCAGCAAACTATGGCAAATAGGCCAAGTATGGCACATCACATGTTTTCGTATGACCCTTGAGATAAGAATGGTTTTTACATTTTAAATGGTTCTTTAAAAAAATAAGAATAATTTATGAAGTATGAAAATGATACAGAATTCTAAATTTCAGTGTTGATAAATAAAGTTTTATTGGAACATAGTCACATTTATTCATTTATGTATTTATTTGTAGTGGCTACTACAATGGTAGAGTTTGGTAGCTGCAGCAGAGACTATACATGGCTCTCTCTCATCTCTTCCCACTGCTGCTTGTCATACTACAAATCACAGTGACACAGTTATAACTTAACAGTGTTTTGAATGCCATGTGTATTGCCATACTTTGATTTTTTTTTCTATGCATCATGTCAAAACAAAAAGAGAAAAGTCAACCAAACTTTCTTTGGTTACAGCCTCATTTTCATTTTTGTCAGGAAGTTCTACTGTGATAAGATATTCTGCTTTAAATTTTCTAATTTTTCTGACTGTTGTTTTCCTATGAGTTGGGAATATTGTGATGAGAGCTTAGTCTGGTAAGGTTGATGTATATTATATTCTTTTATCATAGCCATAGTGCCATTACATAATATACACAATGCTTTGCCATCTAATGTGATAAGAAAATAATCGATATACCACTGTGCCTCAAAAAGTATCAATTTATGAGCATATAAACTGATTTTCACTAATTGTGACTGAGGCCTAGGCTTACAGAGGAAAAAAGGATATAAGGAAAACATGGCGGGTGGGGGCAGTGACAGGTGTTGTGCAATGGGATCTTGGGTGAGGACTCAAATCTATCATTGGATTCCACTATTCAGTGAAGAAATATAGATTCGTTTTTGACTCATCTTCAAACTTTGAAAATATCTCTTACTGTGTGTATATATGGCTCCTGTTAGCTTGTACAATTTTGCATTATAAGGAATTTCACTGCCATTTTATTTTTAATTTAACGGCGTCAGATAAGCTGCCTTGCATGGCATATTAAGTTCTGTATAAATCACATACTGCCTCATACTGTAATCATTTGTCTATATGTCTTATTCCCTGCCAGTGAATTATAGGCTTCTAGATCAGGACAAACTATAGCTCATGGGCCCAAACTGGCCTGCAGCCAGCTTTTGTTTTCTGCCATCAGATAAGAATGATTTTTCCATTTAAAAAAAGTTTTATTGTGTTAAAAATGTAAAAATAAATATTCTTAGTTCACAGGTCATACAAAAACAAGTCACAGGCTAGATTTGGCCTTCTGCCATAGTTTGCTGACCAGTTCTAGATGGTATGCACTTATATGAGATGGTTCTAGATTGTACATGCTTTATACATATTTTTATTCCCCCCTGCCCTTATGCATATGTTTAATAAATATTTGTTGAGTGAATATGTGAATTAACAAATCCATTGTTTAGATTAATTATAGAATATTTGTTGAAACTCCTTATCCAAGCCAATCACCAAACAGAAAATCTATGCTAGAAAACAGCCCATGCGTTGTTCAATAAATAGAGTAACAAAGGTGTAATTTTAATTTTTGCCTTTTGAATTCTTCCAAGAAGGAAAATGAAACTGGGGTTGGGGGAGGAATGAGAAAAAAAGGCAGGGATTCCATTTCATACTAGATTGTGTTACATATGTGTTAAATGGTTTATTTTCAAGTAATGTGTCTAGGGATAGTGTTGAAGAGCAAATTACACTATTTATTCATAAAGATGATACATGAAAGAAGTAAATAGAAATGTAAATCATCCCCAGAGATAGTAAGCCTCTTTTTTCCCTCTCAACTCTTTTGTGAAGGGACTACCACAAAATCTTTGTTTAAGAAGGACTTCTGTTTTTAAGTACTCTACATTCTAGGTTAATTCATTTCTTGTTTTTGAGCAGTCACATTCTGCATAGAAGCATCTCCAAATCTAGTTTTCTATCTCCTTTCTTTCTCCCTTCCTCCTTCTTCCTTTTTCCTTCAAGAGAGAAACACACACAAACAGAGAGAGAGAGAGAGAGAGAGAGATTGAAATTGAAATTGGCTGTTGGATCCCTGCAGGCCTCTTGAAACAGAATTAAGACCAAAACTGATGTTTGTGATTGTCTCTTCAAGAATTGAAAAGAAGTTTCAGAAAAATCTCCTTTTCCCTCAACTTCCTTTCCCTGTGTCTGCCCAGTAAAAGGCATTGTTATATTCTCTTCTTGCTTCTCTTATATGTTTCCTTTAACCTGATTGTGCTTCTCAGAGGAGTCTTGAAAGGCTGTGTTATTACTTAACCTATGCTGAAAAAAGGGGACTGGATGGAGAAGCCAGGAATTAGCTGGAAATAAACAAAATTTAAATTAGGGCAGAGTGCTACACCTCTATCTCATTTTTAGGAATTTTCCTGAGTAGCACTGAGCTTTTAAAATCGTATTAATAACTTTTTGTCTGATTTAAACTGCCTAAAATAGCAGAGAAAGGGACCACAAGAAGCCATTACATTGCCACTAGGCTAAAAGTGAGACGATTGAAACAGGGTGTGGTTGATTCATTCTCCAGCCACTGATATGAAAAAGGAGGGGAATGGGAGAAAATGAGGATGACCTAAGAGGCAGTACCCTAAACCAGAGGTGTCAAACTCCCCTTCAGGGGCCTACAAATAGATTAAAATATAACTGGGAAAAATTTAACCAAGAAATACAATACAACATAGATCAGGTCAATATATGGTTTTCTAAGTTAACATGGAGGCAGTTAGGTGGCGGCAATGGACCTAGTGCAGGGCCTGGAGTCAAGAGAGACTCATCCTCCTGAA